CCAAAGTTTCCAAGCATAACATTGCCCAGAGCATAACACTGCCTATGATGGCTTGGCCTTTTTCCCATATTGCATCCTGCTGCCACCTCTTCACATGTAAACAACTCACAAGCACCCAGCCATCCACCTGATCTAAAAGAAAACATGATTCATCAAACTGGGCAGCCTTCTTCCATTGTTCCATCATCCAGTTTTGACTCTCACATCCCCATTAAAGACTCTTTCAGGGGATGACAGGGGTCGACATGGGCATTCTGACCGGTTTGCAACAATACAGTCCCATGCGCAGAAAACTGTGATGCACTGTGTGTTCTGACACCTATTTTATATCATGGACATGGACATCATTAAGTTTTTCATTAATTTGAGCTAAAGTAGCTCTTCTGTGTAGATAGATAGATTAGTTCTGATTCAACAAAATTTGTGCAAACTGAAATACCATATGGACAAAATTTGGCTGTCCTAAATTCTTTTTTACTTTTGGACAAAGCTGTTAAGCCAAAAAAATTTTAGTTGCCATTTTGCATCTTAAGTGAGGAGAATCAGGGCATAGATTGCTATGGAAGGATTGCAGAACAAAAGGGTCCACTGTCAAGAGTGTTCTGATGGTCAGGACAGATGTCTACTAGGTATTGAGGGTGATCTGTCTTATATATCAGGATGATTTGCCTGGTATATGTCCTGTATACATACCTGAAGGAAAGTATATAATGTGATTATTAGACACGTGCAATTCGTTTCGTTCCGAATGTAAATTTGGATGAATTTCAGCAATTTGGACATTCGGATGCTTCCGAATGTTCAAATTGACGAATTTCCGAATTGCCAAAGTGCTGAAGTGCCGAATTCCCGAAGTGCCGAATCGAAGTGCCGAAGTGCTTCGGATTTCTGAAAAGTGGCAAAACAGGCGAGGGAGGAAAAATTACGGGAATGATGACAGGAATCTAACCCTACCCCTAACCATAACCCTACCCATAACCCTACCACTAACCCTAGTCCTAACCCTACCCCTTAGCCCTAACCCATACCCCTAAACCTAACACTAACCCCTAACCCCTAACTCTAACACTAACCCCTAACCCAACCCCTACCCCTAGATGTGTAAGTTGTTGTGATGTTTAGGGGTTAGGGTTAAATGTAGGGTTATGGGTAGGGTTAGGGGTGGAGGTTAGGGTTGGGGTAGGGTTAGAGGTAGGGTTAGGAGTTGGGTTAGGGGTAGGGTTAGGGGTTAGGGTTAGGGAATTGCCGAAGTCCCGAATTGCTGAAGTCCCGAAGTGCTGAAGTGCTGAATTGCCGAAGTCCCTAATTTTGGAAGTGCCAAACTTAACCGAAGTGCTGAAGTGCCAAATTGCCAAAGTTCAGAATTTCTGATTTTCAGAAGTGCCGAATCGAACAAAATTATCTTATATACTCGAGTATAAGACAAGTTTTTCGGCACATTTATTGTGCTGAAAACCCCCCACTCGTCTTATACTCGAGTCAATGTCTGTATTATGGCAACTTACATTGCCATAATACAGACCAGGACTGCCGGGCTTATTACAAGCCCAGTGGTCCTGTTGGGGGCTGGCAGCGAGCTGTTACTTACCTTCACAGCAGCTCCTGTCAGCTCCCTTCTCCTCCATGCCGGTCAGCTCCCCTGTCAGCTCTACTGTAAATCTTGCGAGAGCCGCGGGGATCAGAGCGTTGCCACGGGTTACCGTGGCAACGCTCCTCACGGCACGGCACTCACACCGAGAGACTTACAGTGGAGCTCACACCGAGAGACTTACAGTGGAGCTGACCAGCACGGAGGAGAAGGGAGCTGACAGGAGCTGATGTGAAGGTAAGTAACAGCTCGCTGCCAGCCCCCCTCCTACACAGCCCATCCACTGGACCACAAGGGAACAACATAGCCCCCCTCCCTGGCCATGTATCAAGCAGGGAGGGGGGTCAAAAATAAATAAATACAAATTTAAATTATAGAAAATAAAATACAAATATTAATAATAAAAAAAAATTATTATTTAAATAATAATAATAATTAAAAAAAATAATAAAAATGCCCACCCCTCACCAAGGCTCTGCATCACATACACAAACACACTCTGCATCACATATACACACTGCATTCATACACACACTGCACTCATACACACACACTGCATTCATACACACACACACACTGCACTCATACACACACACACTGCATTCACACACACAAACACACTGCATTCATACACACACACACTGCATTCATACACACACACTGCATTCATACACACACACACTGCATTCATACACACACTGCACTCATACACACACACTGCATTCATACACACACACACACTGCACTCATACACACACACACTGCACTCACACACACACACACTGCATTCATACACACACACACTGCATTCATGTTTAGGGGTTAGGGTTAAATGTAGGGTTATGGGTAGGGGTTAAGGGTAGGGTTAGGGTTATGGGTAGGGTTAGGGGTTGAGGTTAGGGTTGGGGTAGGGTTAGAGGTAGGGTTAGGAGTTGGGTTAGGGGTTAGGGTTAGGGAATTGCCGAAGTCCCGAATTGCCGAAGTCCCGAAGTGCTGAAGTGCCAAATTGTCGAAGTCCCTAATTTCGGAAGTGCCAAACTTAACCGAAGTGCTGAAGTGCCAAATTGCCAAAGTTCAGAATTTCCGAATTTCGGAAGTGCCGAATCGAACCAAATTACCTTATATACTCGAGTATAAGACAAGTTTTTCGGCACATTTTTTGTGCTGAAAAACCCCCACTCGTCTTATACTCGAGTCAATATCTGTATTATGGCAACTTACATTGCCATAATACAGACCAGGACCGCCGGGCTCATATCCCCATAAATCTTACATCCCCTGATAGCCCTGCTGGGTGACCAACATATCCAACATACTGCATTCATACACACACACACACTGCATTCATACACACACACTGCATTCATACACACACACACACTGCATTCATACACACACACTGCATTCATACACACACACACACACACACTGCATTCATACAAACATACTGCATTCACACACACACACACACACACACACTGTAAATAAATATTCAATTAATATAATTTTTTGGGGATCTAATTTTATTTAGAAATTTACCAGTAGCTGCTGCATTTTTCACCCTTGTCTTATACTCGAGTCAATAAGTTTTCCCAGTTTTTTGGGGTAAAATTAGGGGTCTCGACTTATATTCGGGTCGACTTATACTCGAGTATATACGGTATATAAAAAAATAATGATCTAAACTATATTTTTTTTAATTAATTTGTACTGTATTTTTTTTTTTTTGCTTATTTTTGGCTTTGTCTTTATCATTTTGCAACACATTCTAAGAATAGAAATAAACTTGTTCTCAAATAAATAATGTCTTTCCAAGAACAGAAATGTTGGTATGTTTTTCTGTATATAAAAATAAATTGTAATGCATTCTCATATTATCTAGTCTGGAAAATGTCTGAAAAGCTTCGGTTTTAGTTTCATCTCCAGCCTCAATCTACAGTTTGTAGTTTGAACAACTCTATTGATTCCCGGTAACACGGAATTTCAATGATTTGATACATTTTTCATTAATATAATACATGACTTTTCTAGACCTTATCAGCTACTTTTTCCACAAAGTAACCCGCCCCACCACCACCACAAAAACTCATTCAGATCTTCTTATCAATATTGCTGTGGATTGCATATTTGCAGCAATCAGATAAAGACAGTTTTAATTCCTGGATAAAAATTGTTCATGCTCCTTGTTTTCTGTTGTGATCGTATGTTTACGATCAATTAGTTTGCTTTTGTGAACTCTATTTTTTATGATCAATTAGGAAAAATCTGTAAACCACGCGCTGAGAGATAGTTTTTTTTTTTTTTTTTTAAGGTCTGCACTTTAGAACCCTCACACATAAAAGGGATATACATCACTTGACCATTATTTTTTTAAACCAGCAAACAAAGCTTTTAAACAAATATACAAGCCAAAATAAGGCAAGAAAAACTTATTTAAAACATGCTTAATAAATGTTTACAGACTTGCATTGTTTGCATTGTTGGACATGCTTCCCAGCTTAGTCGAGTTTCTTTGGCCTCCATCCACATCTCAGTTTCAGACCAGTTCACTAATGACAGAAATAGGGTATCTTTGTAAAGCAGCAGGACTGCAAACCTGACACCAGGGACGGCTCTGCATGAATGACATTAAAGAGATCCAACTGTACATGTGTAAATCTGTCGGGCAATGCACATTTCCAGCATTCCTAGGGATAGGACACTGATTGGTTAGAACAGAGATTCCCATGGAGTGGGTGTGGAAAACATGAGAGAGAAGAAGCAGGTATATATGAAGAAAAAAAATTACCCTTTTAGTATGCAGAGTGAGGCAACTGTCTTATTTAAGATATGGGAAAACTGGTGAGTATAAGTGCTCAATATCTATAATTAGCAGCAAATCACCAACAAGGGGTTCTCTCCACCCTTGTGAAGTGGATAGTAAAGATAACAGACAGGAGGTGATCAGCGCTTGAGATTATATCTACATACGATACAGATGATATTCTTAGTATATGAATCTATAAGTACAAAGCAAGAAACAGATTATGGTGGAGTACAGTAGATGTTTGTGAAGGGAGTACAAATGAGCAAAAGGGCACACTCATACATTTTAGAGCTGTCTCGGTTCTATTATGAAGACCTGGATGGAATAATCCCTATCTTTGGTTACAAATGGAGGGTTTTTGAAGCTTGTTTTCAGGATGGAGTAGGTATATGTGAAAAAAGCAAAATAGGAAATTTAATGGTATAGTAAATACAAACAATTGGTATTGATGGAGGAAAATATCCTACTTACGTCACCTAGTGCAATGTCCTGCTCTGGTATGAAGAACTTGAGGTGCTGCAGCTAGACTGATTTTCCTCTCTAGTCGGTCCTCTCACACCTCACCCCTCTGCCGGTCCTTACATTGGCTCCCTGTATGCTATAGGAGTCAATTCAAAGTGCTAACCCATACATTTAAAGCACTGAACAATTCTAGCCCCACTTATATCTCTTCACTAATCCATAGATATGCCCCTCCTCGTACCCTCCGCTCTGCCCGTGACCACCTCCTGACCGCTGCTCGCACCCGTACGGCCAACTCACGCTTGCAGGACCTCTCGCGGGCGGCTCCTCTCCTATGGAATAGCTTGCCTACTGCCATCAGACTCTCCCCTAGTCTTCAATCATTTAAGAAGGGCCTTAAAACCCATCTCTTCAGGAAACTTATGGCCTCCCAGAGTAATCTCTACCTTACATACCTGTCTCCTGCTCTCTCCTATGGGACAGTGCTTTGCTCTCTCCTCCAGCTCTGCTTCACTCCTACTTGATATTCCATGTCCTAATGTTTCAAATACCCCACCTCCTATAGTCTGTAAGCTCGTTTGAGCAGGGTCCTCTTCATCCTATTGTTCCTGTAAGTTTTCTTGTAATTGTCCTATTTATTGTTACATCCCCCCCTCTCAAAATATTGTAAAGCGCTACGGAATCTGTTGGCGCTATATAAATGGCAATAATAATAATAATAATAATAACTGTAACGGACCTCCTGTACCCCGGTTGGGTACCTCCGCCGACGGATGCTCCTAGTGCTTACCGAGGGCTCCAAGCACTTCTCCAGAGAATGAAGCAGGACCAGCTCATAGAAGAGCTAGTGATTATTCAAGGAAGTAAGATGAGCATAGCAATCCCTTGTAGCAGTTTCCCCCAATAAGAGACAGAACTCATTATTGAGGGTGAAATAAGACAGAAGGTTTAATGGGGCAGGTTGGATTTATATACAATTCCTCAGGCCAGAGTCACACCCTCTGGACCTGATGGAGCACCGCATTACAAACTATACAGACCAATAAGAACAATATAACAATGTCCGACAATCCCACATACAGCACACAATCCCCCTCCCCCCCCCTGCCTGTGATATAATTAAGGTAGTTAATGCATTAACTTAATAATCCACAGGCAGAAAAAAACACACATTTTTATAAAGTCCAATAAGTACCCCAAAACACAGCATATCCCCATAAATCTTACATCCCCTGATAGCCCTGCTGGGTGACCAACATATCCAAAAATCACCCAGATCAGATTAGGGGTTCAGAAATTCTATGGAAGTCATAGTTTTGTGAACACAGGATTTCATGCACAAAACAGTTCCGTAGAATTAGGCTGTGCGTCCGGTCTATTTAAAACAGTCGAATTACCGTTCAAATTACCGTTCGAATTACCGAACGGAATGGTGAATGGCAATAGTTAAAGTGTGTCTCTTGTTCATGGGCTTTGATTCACCGACCGTCGTTCAACTATACGAATGAATAGTCAAATTTCTCTGGAACGTAAGTGTTTGACTAAATGAGATGGCCGCCACCACGTGTTTGACTACTTTGACACCTCGACTGTATCCAAAGTGCCATTTTGCAGAAAGGGAATGGAAGAGGTTTTAGGTGAACAAATAGATGAACCAGCAAGGGAATAAAAGAGGTTTTAGGTGAACAAATAGATGAACCAGCAAGGGAATGGAAGGGTTTTTAAGGTGAATAAACAGATGAACCAGAGGATAGAGTTATAACCCAGAGACAGAGGATCTGTCACAATTCTTCCCTTCTTGTGGAACAACCGGCATACTCGGATTAACCCTTTTCGGGTTAAGTTGGGGATGTCTGGACTCTGCTTATGGGCTGAGTTCTGTTTGTCTGGATAATCCATGCGTTGCCATTTTGTTTCCCGGGTCGATACTGGATTGTAAAATTGTAAGGCTGCAGGACCATAATCATAAGGTATAAGGCTGGCAAGTAGCCCTCTCCAGAACCCAGTGGCGATGTTGCTTTCACCACAGGAACAATCCCCACCTAGGGATATATGCTGGAACCGGAAGGATGATGAAGGCTGTATAAAGAATGTATTCCACAGGTGATGGTATATAAAATAGTAGGTTTATTAAATAAAAAAGCTGGAAACAACAGCTATATAAGTAAAAACAAATAAACATAATGTGGATAAAATAAGTCCTCACTTTTCACCACTTTTGAGAAAGTGAGGACTTATTTTTGGTTCATCCAAATGTTTCCCAGAATATTTTTTCATGGGTGATATAAATGATTAATAAATGGAAACACTTGTGTCTACCAATTAGCCTGAAGAAGTAATATGCATCCAAACAAACATGGTGGATGTGGCAACTTTGCACAACCCATGGTTTAAGGGAAGATGCAATGATTTGCAATATCCTCATTATTTTGTCCCATAATGGCAGCACAAATGTTTATATTGGTGTTTTGCATAGGGTGGCTGTGAGTGTATGCTAGAGTATTAGAATGTATTTTTAGTATTTATGTCCATTAACCTATTGTAGATGGTGCAATGAAAATGAATACAGTCTTTCAACACCTGAGTTCAAGCAGGTATTCCATTTTTTCATTTTACTATTTAAACAAGGATTGATTGTACAGATCTGGTTTAAAAAATACGCACACAATTACAATCATTAAACGCCACCAAGAGGCCAGCAGATAAATATTTTCCTGTTTCATTACTAGCAAAATGTGGTAATATGGCCATGGAAGTGTTGCATTCAAAGTTACTGATCATGGAATCATAAATGAATGAAAAAGAAATTTAAAAATTATCAAAAAGAGATCGAAAGCATGCAAAAAAATCATATATTCACTAATTATTCTGTTTTTCTCTTTTGGTCTAAAATTTTGTAAATTGCTGTGTCAATACTCCACAATTTTGGGTTTAGTTGATAACACTGTAGAAGAAATGTATCAAACGTTCTGTTAAAAAAGAGCCTAAAGTCCAGCTCCAGCAAGCATATTTCAGAACAGAAGACTTTCATAAATCTACTCATTATGCCACATCTAGAAAGCACACAAGCCTTTCATTTAAGAAACACTCTAAGCATCAAAACAACTTAAAGAGAAACTCCAGTGCCAGGAAAACAATCCGTTTTCCTGGCACTGTAGGTCCCCTCTCTCTCCCACCCCCCAATCCCTGGTTGCTGAAAGGGGTGAAAACCCCTTCAGTTACTTACCAGAGGCATCGACATGTCCCACATCACTGCTTCTTCCTCCGCCGCCACTCCTCCTCTGCATTACGTCGGCTGGTGGGCGAAACTGATCCAGCCCATCGGCTGGGGAGACCTAATGCGCTGCGCGGCAGTGCCGCGAATGCACATTAGAGCTCCCCATAGGGAAGCATTGAAAATGCTTTTCAATGCTTTCCTATGGGGAATTGAGCGATGCTGGAGGTCCTCACACAGCGTGAGGACGTGCAGCGACACTCAAGCACAGGTTTCCTGTGCTAGGGACATGGAAGTGCCCTCTAGTGGCTGTCTAGTAGGCAGCCACTAGAGGTGGAGTTAACCCTGCAAGGTAATTATTGCAGTTTATAAAAAACTGCAATAATTACACTTACAGGGTTAAGGGTAGTGGGAGTTGGCACCCAGACCACTCCAATGGGCAGAAATGGTCTGGGTGCCTGGAGTGTCCCTTTAACCTAATGAAGTGGTTTTGGTGCATATCAGGTCCCTGTAGTTTGGCTGCTTAATTATCTGCCATTTAGGAGTTAAAGCACACTTTTCCTGGTTGTGACTCACACTGTCTCTCTACACACTTCCTGTAAAGAGAGATCTAATTTAGAAAGTGTATTGCACAGTTTGTTTAATTTAGAATTGTGTATCTCCTGTTCTATCTCCTGCATCTCCTGTTCTGCTGGAGCCTCATGTGTGTGATTAAAGTTCTGTAATTATAGATAGAAACTTCTAAAGTAAACACACTGTACTGTAAGATTGGAATGAAAGTTAAACCATGTCTTAATGAAGGCTGTGTAAGTCTTAATTTTCTACCATGATTTGACAGAAGCATGAAAAGATCTTCCCTGTATTATGTAGAATTTGTATGCTTCAAAAAGTAAATGAGTTAATTAATGAATGCAATTTCTCTTGCATTTGACCTTGATTGATTAGGTTGTTCCCACACATTCCACAGATGACACAGGATTATTTTTGATGCACCTCTTTGCAACATTCATAAATGTATGAATGGGAGGGAGGTGACAGTGGTAAACTCCCATGTCAACACTCATGAGTGTTGAATGGGGGCATAGAACTAATGAATAGGGAGATCTGCTATTGGTTCATGCCTCTTGCCCTCTCTTATGGGCGCCTGGTCTAGTAATAGTAATCACTAGACCTGCCACTGGTCACTCCTAACCCCTTCGGGCGGGTGATTCAAAACTGATGGATGGACCTGCTAGTAAGAGTTAGACTACTACTTTTCACCCTTACCCAGTGGGCTAGGGGTCCCAGTGGCAGGACCACTCTGTACCATTACAGTCCCACTGTTCATGGGATGGGGCCTTTGACTGACCCAATTCTGACCAAATCTACCTTCAGTGGATAAGCGATATTCAAATTTGGCTGGAGTTCAATTGTTATTTTACCTTAGATTGCCACTGGAAGTGCTTCCTGGGTCAGTGCTGCCGAAAAAGCAGCACTGACGTTCAGCGTCTCCACCCTCTGCATGGAGACGCTGAATTTTCCTCATAGAGATGCATTGATTCAATGCATCTCTATGAGGAGGTCCTGTTTGGCCAAAATGGTATTTGACCTCGCCCCATGCCGATTTTAGCCCATCCAATGCTTTCCCTATGGGAAAGCATTGGATTGGCAAAAAATCTGCCATTTTGATGATGTCACAAAGGGGGAAAGCATTTGATTGGCAAAAAAATCAGCCATTTTGATGATGTCACAAAGGGGGCAGAGCCAGCGCCCGCAGACACGCGTGGAGCTGGAAATAGGGTGAGTTTTAAACTTTTATAGGGGGGCAAGCCACCTAAATGGTGGGTTTAACACTATAGGCCTTTGTGAGGAAGGCTGAACTTGATGGACGCAAGTCTCTTTTCAGCTATGTAACTATGTAACTATGAATACATGTTTGTGTTCCTGACCCTATAGTGTTCCTTTAACCATGCAATGTAAAGCATTGCAGTTTGAAAAGTGTATCCAAGAATATTAAATCATTTGAAAAGTGTATTCAAAAATATCAAAGGAACATTCTGCACACCTAAATAACTTTAGCCTGCTAAAATCTGGGATGGGTTAGAGATCTGCATCTTTTTCAAGCTGTTTTAAATATACCCCCAATGTACAAATGCATAATTATATGCGTACATGTTTTCATTGGGGGTATATCTACTAAATTGTTTAAACAAAAAATATTGTTTGTTTTTAAATTGAAGTGTTCCTTTAAATCAAGGCCAAGACGACTTAGGTGTCTTTTACACAAGATGTTGAAACATACTAAAATAGTTCCAGTTGTGAATATGATTTCACACTTAACGCAACTGATAAATTGCTACTGGTGTAACATATAAGTATTCACTATTATTTTTTT